AAACAATGGTGATCTGTGGACATATATCGCATTCAGGTGAGATGATATTAATTACAGAAAGCAACTTTATATTATTATCCGTGAGCATTGCCATTTTGGAAGTTGCACTTTTACAGCTGCCAACTCCTACACGTCGTTTCATGCTCGCCAATAGCATAATTTCAAATACTTCCAATAGATTATGTTTCAACCATATATGATAATCAGATGATTTTTTTTTCAGGTGATGGCTATGTATCAAGTGATGAATTAAACGTGTTACAGAAATAAATATTTATAATCAAACGGAAACAAAGTTGTTTCATACCATTAAAACTGGAGATCCTATTGTTTTATAATATAGCTTTTTATCCATACATTAAAGCGTCGTATATAATGTTATTGAATGAATATTTGAAATTGTACCACTATGCGGAAAATATGTAATTATTATTAAAATCGTTTGTAAGCTTTGTAGTTTAATTCATTCCCCAACATCACATCAAAGATTTATACTGTTAATAGACAGTTGGGTTGTTGAAAAGCTGTCTAGCAGAGAGTTTCAAAAGACAAAAGTGGAGATACTTAAAGATACATTAAGGGAGATTCGATAACGAGTTGGCAGTTCTCACTATAATAGTTAAAAACAGGAGGCGTTTTTGTGAACCGATTAGATTAGACCGATTAGCTATTATACGCATTTGTGAACCAAGTTGATTATGCTAATCGTTACATTTGTGAGACGATTTAACTCAACTGATTAGGCAAATCGACCTAATCGTCCCAGGAGGTGTTTAGGCGATTAGATTTGACGTTTTCAAAATGGCGGAATGTTCGACATCGTAAGTAATTTTTAATGCTTATTGTTGTTTTTCTCCATAAAAAATGTTTTTTTTAAAACGCATTTGATGTGTTTAAAGTAGCTAAGTCTCTAACTCAATATCATCCAAAATCTTCAACATTGAAAACACGATTTATTTGTCAAATTATATCAACATTCATGTTGTGATCTTAACGGGAAAAGATGGGCTTTTGATATCCAATATTTAAGACAAAATAAACATTTTACCATTGGTACACGAATCGTGTACCATAATGCGCTAGTTGTATCAAGAGACTCGAGGGACGAGGCTAGACACATTGCACCAAATCAAACGGCGTATGTAAACTGGAATAACCAGACGCTAGAAATTTGCACTCGCTTGAGACTGCTGGCTTATTTCGCCGAACATAACGGATTTGAAATTGGAGTAAAAACGAAAACCATTGAATGTAAATCAGTTTATATACATTCATACTACAGTATTATATGCATTGCGACCCACTTTTGTCAATTTCTAGGTCCCAAATGTTAGCGATTTAGCTCCTTTAATGTTAACTTTATAGTCCACAAGAATGTTAGATCACCTCTGGCTCTAAGCAATTTTAGGCCCTCTGGGTGCCAGCAGTGTCACTGTAATCTGTAGGTAACTTGGACTACACGTGAAACACACGCCCCCCTCGTCATGTTAGCAGAGACAATTTTTTTTCTGATCGGTGTCCGTGGTGGCAGCCATCTTACCAAATCGTAATTATCAAATTTCACATTTGTGGACCATAGCTAATCAAATCGAAATCATACCAAATCGTACTAGCAAATCATAACCTAATCTAATCGACTCACAAAAACGCCTTAGATAACGTAAAGGCAATTTGCTGAAAATTTATAATTCAAATTGATCCACTATGAACCGAAAACTAAGCGAATGAAATTTCTGCCTAGCCTCGATCATCATTACTAACGTCAGTACGATAAACAGTATAGTCTCGATTATCTATTTAATCGTTTAATCGAGAAGGAAATGAAATGGGGTTTAACGTCCTACTGTTCTGCTCCTATACCGGGCTAATGAAGACGGGCATACGCCATACAGTGTGCTATGAGGGAAATTTTGCCCGGGCAGCGGCACTATCGCCTACTCTTATATCGAATTCCAACTGCCAAGGGATCTTTTACGTGCATTCTAATGTAATCGAGAAGGAAAGTTATGCAGTAAATCGGCTCACAATCCACTTAAGATCGCAGGCTAGCGATGCCATCTAGAGTTGATTATGGTCTGGATAAGTTAATTAATGTCTAATTAATAATTTAGATAACATTTCAGGCCTTAAGAAAGACCTGCAATAGACAGATTTAGCTCTTGCATAATGTATGTTTAATATACGGTAAACGTGTACATGGGAACTCTGTTTTTCGTTTCATCCCAATAGCTATATATTATGCTGTTCCTTCCTAGTTTCTGGGACTGGCAACACTCAGTGGTCTAGCAAGGATGTGTGAGAATGTGCGCCTTGTAGAGCAGATGAAAAAACTGCAGGTTTTAATACGGCATTTCCTAAAGAATTCAGGCCTTTGTAACGAACTAGAAACATTATGTATTTTGGGAATGGTTATTTGTTGAAACGCACTATGTATAAGTACTAATGTAAACCGGAGCGAAGCTCTAAAATGAAAAGAAGAATGGTCTAGAATATTTATAATGTTGCGATGGCCATGTTCAAATACAAAAACATTAAGCCCCCGCCCCTAACCTTACACGTATATATACAGGTTCGATCCCTGCATTGGCCGAGAAAGTTCATCCAGATTTTCCGAGGTCCCGTGTATACACTGGAATGCACGTAAAAGATCCCTTGGCAGTTGGAATTCGATTATAAGAGTAGGCGATAGTGCCGCTGCCCGGGCAAAATTTCCCTCATAGCACACTGTATGGCGTATGCCCGTCTTCATTAGCCCAGCATAGGAGCAGAACAGTAGGACGTTAAACCCCATTCCATTTCATTTCATTTCATTTCAAGGGCGGATTTAAGGGATCGGCCAAGGGAGGCGACTCGATCCGACGGGCCACAGCAACGTGGGGTTCTGGGTCGTTCCCCGGAAAAATTTAAAAATTACATGGCCGCAGATGAGATTTAGAGCACATTTCTGTCGGTTTAGATACAGACTGGGATCCATGATTTCGTTGTCCAGATCTGCCCTCCTTCTGCAGACGGGTATAGGGCCTACGCGATGCAGTGTGCTATGAGGGAAATTTGCCAGATGCAGATGCAGGGAGAGTGGTGTTGCGATGGTTAATAACCCACTCCTTGGAAACAAAACTGGTCCTAAGATACCACACCACTGAGACAATGGATAATGCAACATATTTCACATAAGTTTCTTTCAGCAGGGGCTTTTGTCAGCTGGAGGGCCACCTGCGATTAAATGAAAAGTTATTTCATTGTTGGATTCATTGTTTTGAAAGCAAATGTTTGAATTTTGATTATTCTTAGCCTTGTAAAATTTTATATTTTTGAAAGAATTACTGTGGGGCCTCACAGTACCTGCAGTCCAAATGGGTAGAGATAATTCAAATCGGACTCTTATGTGGAATGCAGGTGATTCGCGATTCACTTCGAGAGCTAATGATAAGTGCACGAGTATGACACCACACATAAATAAAAATCAGTAAGACAAATCCATTGAACAACGATAAGAACACAAATGAGAACTTTCCCTGCACATAATGACACTGATGAATGATCGGGTGGCACATCTGCCTTACTATTAGAAAAATGTACAAGGCTCCTTGCACTGATGTAAACGGGGCCCCAGGCCCAGGCCCGTAGATAGCCCCCAATTGTTCGGGGGGGGGGGGGGGTCAAAGGCTTCAGGGGGCGCCGATGGGGTTTCTGGTGGCGTCGATGTACCTACATTTGACGGTCCACGGCGAACGGTACCGTGGACACGCCTCCCTTCGGAGAAGGATCTAGGATGCACCTGAAAATGACGAAAAATTTCAAATTTGAGGCTGAATTTATGAACATTATAAAGATTTGAAGGAAGGAATACGACTTTAACGTACCTGTAATAATTTATGAGAAAAACGAAAAGTTCGGAATCGGGTTAGAGTGCGACTTGTTTGAATTTTGAAGATTATCACGGCAGTTTGGGCGCCTATCCATTCTCACTCGGCATTATGGGTGCCCCGCCAATTATGTTATGGGCATCCATGATCTCGTCGTGGGCGGCCCACCAATCTCGGCATTATGGGCGCCCCTCCGGGATGAGGCACTCCACCAATCATGCCGTTTTGGGCGCCCCAATGATCAAGTCGTGGGCGTCCAACCAATCTTACTCGGAATTATGCATTTCGTTCGGCCCGACAATCATATATTGTCATTATAAGGTGCCCCACCAATCATGTCATTATGGGCGCCCCTCGGAATAATGCACTTTTGAGCGCCCCATCAATCAAGTTGTGGTGTCTATCGTGTGAGTCATTATGAGGTGCCTCACCATTTGAGGGGTGCCTCATATATAATGACATGATTGGCGAGGCGCCCATAAAACCAAGTGACATTGGTGTGGCGCCATAAAACCAAGTGACATTGGTTGGGCGTCCCGTCAATCTCGTCATGGGCGCCCAACCAATGTCACTCGCCTTTATGTGGCACCCATACTGATACGTGCACGTTGGTCGTTGGCTTCGTATTGTGTCCAATGAAAAGGGCGCCGAACGCCAATCGGGGGCGCCGAATTTTTCCAGGGGGGCAGCTGCCCCTTGCCCCCCCCCGCGCTAGCTACGGGCTCCGATTAAGGAGCACATTTCTTTGTCTCAGGGCCCTTGATCCAAGTCGAAGAGGGCCTTTTCTCCGATACAGGGGCCCCCTTTTGGTCTGTGGGCCCTTCCATTGTCCCCGTGGCTCCCGTCACAAGGAGTCCATATAAAATTTTCTCCCCAGATTCAGCATTTTCATTCAGTTTTATTTTTGGAGATTTTCTAAAGCATTTCTGGTCGGAGACTGGCGCCTCCGCTATAATACACTATAATCTTCTACCTTACAGATTAAAATAAATCATCTTAGGATTAACCATGTGTTATAATTTTTAGAATAACCAGGTCAAACATGTGGCTCAACTTCAAGGTAATGAATGCCGCTATATACAGACCAGAATTTGCCATTACGGACGTATATAAATGAAGATAATAATACTGTACTACTATTTGTCATTTTTTATTCTTATATCAGAGAAGGCAAGATATAAATCTAGTCTATACATGAACATAAAAATAGATCATATTACATTCAATGTTTTATATAAGGCAAAAGTATTAACAAAATACAAGTTCGATATAATATATAGCTCACAAAATATATATTATAATATATATACTGTATTAAAATTAGAATTACAAACATACAAACATACATGGAAGGTCTGACAATGACCAAGATACCACATTACTTTTATTTATTGTATAAATAGGCAAAATATCTAAAATCACAGGTACTAGAATTCAAATGGACTAGTCGTGTTATCATAACTGCAGTTATATTTCATTTTAGACATTAAATCGGACTGGATTATTATATGTGTGTAAGGCAGTAATTAATTCACCGTTTTGTTTAAATGCATTAATTGGTGAAAAAAAGCTTTTTATTATACTTTAGTTCCGTGGTTTTAAACCATTTTTAACCGCCCTCGCCCCCCACCCCCTCTCAGTTTTGCGCTCTCCAATTATCCCCCCCCCCCGCCTTGTAGCCCACAATCACTATGTTCCACAATCAAATAACAAAAATCTCGATACCCTGACTTCCATTTATTAGTTACATGTTTGGGTAAGCAGTATTAAATCCGGACGTCCACTGGTCCTATCACTTTTGTAATTCTTGTATTATCGACCCACCCCGGTTGAAAACGACTGCTTTAGTTAATAAAACTTATATACGAAGTAAAGTAACGACCACGTTGTATAAGATACCAATATTGTGCCAAGAAAATAATCACAAAAATAAAGCACCTTTACTGACTAGATAAAGTTCTACTGACTTTTTTATTGGCTAAATAACATTTTACCCTTTTAAATATATTAAAAAAAAGAAAACCGTTTCTTTAAAGGTTGGTTTCAATACAAGCGCATCCAAATCTAGACCCTCTTTCCAGATTGAATTGGCATGAAGGATTTTAAAGATTTTATTTTTGACAACCATTTTGAATACAAAGATTTACCGATTCAGCCGCCCGGATTCGAATTTTACAATTGCTTGGAAACAAAAACATTTGAGTTTGAATCTGGAAAACAAAATCCCACTGTATGCTACCCTTAATCTCAGTACCACTTTCTAGTTAAAACGTACTTTAAAATTACAAACCCCTCTTAAAAGCATATTGATTATCAGTTAAATATGTAAAAAAAACAAACAAAACAATGCGAGTATCGCCTGATCAGTCACAACAATACTTATATGTATTGCTTAATCAGGGAAAGCATTTTGTTAGTATCACCTAATTCATTACAAGCATTTTGTGAGTATCATTAATTAAAAGCGCTTTGTGAGTATCATATAATTAATTAAAAGCATTTTGTGAGTATCAACCTTTTGTAAGTATCACCAAGGCAAGTCATTTTTGTGAGTATCACCTTATCAGGTTTATCAGATAATCAAATTAAAATATACCCCATTTATTGTCATAATGTCAACAAACCACACAAAAATACATAAAATGTAAAAACCTTTTTTCTGCTGTATACTAACAGTTTTTTTAAAAAGCAAACTAAAATTTTATCATCGAAATTGTATAACCATCGTGTATAATAATAATAAAACAAATTTTAAGAAAATATTTTCGTTAATTTGTTACAGGTTATGATGTCATCCTTGAATCTATAAAAACATCAATAAGTAATACAAATGGAATGAAATGAAATCGGGTTTAACGTCCTACTGTTCTGCTCCGAACTGGGCTAATGAAGACGGGCATACGCCATGCAGTGTGCTATAAGGGAAATACAAATCAAGCAACCAAATAGTTACTTTTATTGCAAATCTATCGCACTCTGAACACAAAATACATAGCACTTTCTGTATAAATATATCCTTAACAATTGTTTATAATAACATAAATATTTGTATAATAACAAGAATATGTTATTCTATAAATATAATGGATATTTACATATTAAATACATATATAACATATATAAAAATAACGTTAATAACAGAAATATCACAGTCATTGTTTGATATAATAACAATTATCAATAGAAAATTGTTTTGATTTTCGTTTTTTCTTCGTTATTTTTCTGTTGTACGAGTCATTTTCAAGATTAGAATCTTTGATTTATTAAATCGTAACACAAGTTTCTGTGACATAAAGCTGTTCAAGGGTAGCTTTTGGCACAAATATCACAAAAGGTTCATTGGACACTGTGGTGCTTGGCGTACCACTAGTCAAGTCCCGAAACAATAGTGAGCTGTTCCTCCATGGTACATTAATCAGCATCATAAGAAATTGCAATACCCATCACAAACAAACCGTAATTGTTCACTGTGCAGCAATACATCCAATTTATTAAGGATTTATTATATTTAAAAAGAACCCATTAAAAACACAAATTTTCGCGTTTGTCCCCCCCCCCCGGTTTTAGTCTATGAATAAGACGTCTGTTAATTCTTTCGTTACGATCTAATTTGGGGATTCATTTTAACTATGGGTCTCTCGAATCGGTCATAATTTTGTCGGTTTCTGATTATTACTATTGTCGCCTAAGTCTTTCAGTTCAATGTCTTCATTAGCTTCGTTACTGTCTAAACTAGAGTTATCTTCCTTGACGCTGCTACTACTGCCATCCATATCGATGTCCACAAAATGCTCAGCTGTTCGTACTTCTGCTACAGATTCTAATTGAGCTGGCGAGTATGCACCGAAACTGGCCCGTGATGGACGGAATTCTGTGATTTTCTCTCTTTCCAATGTGTTACTTCCATCAAGGCTGTTTGATCTTTTAAATTTTCCCCGAGACATGTATTTATGGTCTTCTTCGCCAATCGTATTTAGGCTAGATCGAGATGTGGTTAAGGCATTCTTCATCATCTTAAACCATGGATCGCCCTTAGCATTTTCACCATTCGACATGCCTTTGTATCTTTGGAACTTCTGGGCTTTTGTTAGGACTGCGGATTTGTGTTGTTCCAATTTTTTCAAGGCACGGTCCGATCTCTTAAATGAACCTTTCCTCTTCTTTTTACTACTACTGTCTTTCTTTATACCATTGGAAATGTCACCACTTTCAGACAAACGTTCTTTCTTCAAATCGTTAGCCAGTTTCAAATATCGGGACATGAACTTTGAGGTGAGGTTACCCGATTGCTCTGGAGGCTTTCGTCGACGTTTAGTCAATCTCATCACAGTTTTGCGTCGTCTGGGTTTGGGCGAATCATCGTTAGTAATGCTGCTATCATCCTCGATACTGTCACAAGATCCAAGCGAGGAAATAGATTTGGTATCGTCGTCTTCGGTGTAACTCTGCATTTGTCGAACCAATTCCAGCTTATCAGAAATATCCATAGCAGCGATTTCGGATTGATTCATTTTGAGACAGTTTACATCAGTCGAGGCTATAATGTGCAGGAAAGTGCTCATACGATGAAAGAACATTGCGATGAACTGAATGAGTAAGGAAACTCCAAAAACCGCCATAAACACCATAGAGATGGGTTCCAAGCTTAGTTTTCGGCTACCATCAACGGTTTTACAAGGTAAAGGTATAGCTAGTCCATCGCCTCCTTGAATGGCATTGGTATATTGTAAAGTAAAAATAATAACAATGAACAAGGCGTTTAGGAGATAAAACATCAGGCACATCTTGTTTCGTAATTCCTTCAAGTCGGCTTTCATCTTCTTCTGATGCTCCACATTATTTTCCAACGGGAACAGATATTTGGAAATTAAGTCTTTCCAGAAACGAATCTCTTCTGGTGATAAGTACCGAACTCGTCCCTCACCAATATCATTATCTCGCAACCAGTAAGGAGAAAACTCATCATCTAACTGATTAGTTCGAACACTCTGTGACAGATCTGTAAAACAAAAAAAACAAAAAAAATAATCTTGAATTCATAAAACTGTACATGAAAAGAGTCCCATAAAATTCGGGATCACCTTCAAAAGTGGCACACTGGCAGGCTAAGGATCACCTTCAAAAGTGGCACACTGGTAGGCTAAGGGTTTTGCTTCTGCCTTCAGCATCTCCCCCGAATATAATATACTGTAAAAGCCCCCAATGACCCCAGTTGCCCATGTTATTGTTGTAGATATAACCAACATTCCAATATATGTTTGACACGCCCATCCTCGTTATATATGAGTGAATTAAAAACATGGTTCATTCAAAGTTTCAAAAATCCCATATAGTCCGGTCAAAATACAGTTTAACCCCACAAAACAAAAAATTGCCACAAAAGGTTTCTCAACTGATTCTGGCAGGGTTTAGTGTACTTTATAACATACTAACAGTTTACCAAAGTAGAATCCCCGGAAAAGTGTTTTTTTTCAAGATGGTCAAAGATGGCCACCAAAACCTGGGGATAGACATCAAGATCATCAAATGTGAGTCAATAGTTATGGACTTGCGGTCATTTGGGGGTGTTGGCGTCCATTTTTGATATAATAGGCCAACATCATTTTTAATGATCTTAACGTGTTCTTTGCCCCCCAAAACCCAAGGAAAGACACCAAGATCATCAATTTTGAGTTGATAGTTTCTTAGTTATGATCATTTTAAGACGTTTCGGTGGCCATCTTTGACGCCATCTTGAAAAAACACTCTTCCAGGGGTCCTACTTTGGTAAATTTTTAGTATGTTATAAAGTACACCACATGCTACCAGAATCAGTTGCGAAACCTTTTGTAGCAATTTTTTTTTGGGGGGGGGGGGGGGGTGAGGGGGTATTTTCCATATATTGACCTGACTAATACATTTTTATATTGTGCAAGTAGCAATCTACGATGGTCTATTGGTGCAATTCGTTAATTTATACCTTTTTCTAGTAATTTACCTCATATGATAAAGATTCACTCTGCAATACAATGATAGAGTGCTTCGCAATAAAAACTATGGTAAATTAAAAAAAAAGATAAAAAAAAAGAATGGCACTAATAGGCCAACGTAGCAATCTTATTAACTCCAATGCACCCTCTCTATTTTATTCCAACAAAGTCTTAAACTTTTCTTATTTTAAGGGAAAACATGGTTCATGAATAATTACCATTAGTACTGTTGGCTTCTTGCTCTTTGGAAATATCAGCTGGTTCACCATTGATAGTTGCAGTTTTCTCTGCCATGTCATCATTTAGTGATTTGATTTCTGCTATATTAGCGACATCATTGGGTGTAGTTGGAACGGATTGATAGCCATTTCTAATAGCACCAACAGCACTCTCAATCTTGGACAGCTTGTCCAGAATCACACTAAATCGGACTTCGTCAGTATTCTCCACAGTTCGAGGACAGCACATGCATCGGAACAGGTTTCCAAAGGAGAATCCATACTCGCTTTTCAATTCTGGTTTATTGCTGGAGAACATGTTCAACAACGATTGAAGTCTGCCATCTTTACTTGGTTTGCTATTTTTCTGGTTGACTGTGACAGCTGTTGTGGTTTCCCTGGTTCCCCAGGTTACGACATGAAGATTACACATGGAATATATCATCAACAACATAGACATACTGGGAATAGCCAGAACATACAGAACACCATAAAATATGTTAAGGAACTCCATCGGATGCATAATAGCGGATATTGAGAAGACGGCTATTAGAAAGATGATGAAGATGGTTGCTGGTGCACAAATACCTTCTGTTTTCACAGACAGAGCCAAACCCACTACAACTAACATCATGACAAGAGCATATACACCTGACAAGATGGCTGCCATACGTAACTGAAAATAACAAGAAAAGATATTTCAAATTTCAGATACAATATTATATAAATATGAATATATATTAGCAAAATTCTAAGACAATACATCATCTTTTGAAAACAAACGCAACAAAATAAGAAATGGGCTACAAAATCTCATTCTTACCTGCCATTCCGATTTCGCCACAAAACAGATGACCATGAAGAGGCAGATAGGAGCTAGATTAGCAAGTAGTGCATCAAGCAGATCTAGAGTTGGGAAAGCCATGTTGATAGCACCTACAATGAGTAGAAAAGTGGTGCCCGGAGTCACTATGGAGGAGAAGAACAGCAGGAGTTGATATAAGACATACATCCACGAAATGTTCTCATTCTTTCTAATCATATTTCGCCAATCACTTAAGAAGTCCATGATGTTAGCCATAGTGGAAGGAGACCACCGACGTCTCTGATTAAAGAACTCGTTGAAGCTTTCTGGACAGTAAGTATAGGCATCAGCAGCAGCACAATATTCTACACGGTAGCCCTGTTGTAACAGAAGGGTACATAACCATCTATCTTCACCTGAAATGAGTACAATATGAAAATATATTGGATCGTGTATTTGTAGACACGCAGTTCCTCGGTATTAAGCAAACGCTCTTGATTAAAGAATACAGATCTGTACAGTGACTTGTTGGTTTGAATGAATAATTAAAACTGAGAGTTTAAAGTCACTTTAATATATAGTGCCCAACATATAGTTCGTAGCACACACACACACATCTATAAAGACTTAAGTTAAGAATTTACTCAACTTTCAATCACTGTTTATGAGAAATATCTTTGATCCAGAAACACAAAACCTTGCACATAGTTTCTTATTGATGTATTTGATACATTAAAACAACAAAAGGTTCACAAAGGGGTATATTTGAGTTAAAATAAGGCGAACAATTTTGAGTAAGTTCTTAACTTAAGTCTGAAAATGCTTTGTGAACTCGGGCCAGATAGATAAATAGATCTTAAGTTAAACGACAGTACATCCAGCGTGACAGAAGCAATATTGTCGCGATGTGTTTAGTGTATTTTATAAATTGATTTCCCGTTTTCAATTCCCAAGAGATAAGTTGTTGCAAGATTAAACTCTGCCACACGCAAACAGGGACATATCCAGGGAATTGAACAGCGAAGGGTTCAAGATGAGTTCTGGGGGATTACCCGCGAATTTGATAAAATCAGAGGCTCCGAGACAACATTTCTGCTCACTTAGGTGCACACGTATATGATAAGAGTGGAGTGGGTCCAAAGGGGGGTGGGGGAGTGCTTCACACGTCTGCAGTTTCTTCGACGTTATATTTCGATGAATGTAGAAGAAAAGGCATGCTTTGTGCAAGGATGAGATTGTCCGGGCCCTCTGTACCTTCTCCCTCCCTCGACAGGCGCCTGAACAACACAACGTTTATTTATCTTGGTGTCTGGACTAAATCTTAATTTTCCAAATGATTCTAGTTACCTTGATCATACTGAACATAATGAGCTGCCTCTGTAGACAGAGTTGCGTATTTCCTCATAACATTATCATCCATTATGGCCGATCCTCGAAATAAACTGAAACAACCGGGACTGCACATAACACATCCAATCATATGTTCTGTAGCTTTCTGTAACCAATGACTGACTGCATATTCGAATTTTTGATACCATACCATTGGGCCTATATTTAGAAATAACAAACATATTTATCTAAACCATGGGAATTGTCCAACTAAAATTAAATCTTAAAAAAGGTTTGGCAGTATGAAAACATTTACGATAAATGAGGTAATTAGTAATACTGAAATAATGTAGCTATATGTACCTGTTCCGATTGGATGAATTCTTCCACAAGCAGCTCCCACCTTTTCATTTTTCTTCATCCTGTCCACCAAGAGTTGAACAGCCGAGGGTTTAAAATCCACATCCCCATCTAATGTTAATATATATGTATTATCAGCTATCGTCTGCTTTCTTCTAGCGTCTGGTAAAGGTTGTCCTACAAGACGATGTCCCAGTAAGTAGTACATATACATAACCTAAAATTAAAAAAAAAATATAATAAAACATATAAACCGACAATTAGGAAAAAATAAATTGATTTCGTGTTAATTCTGTTTTTGATAAAAGTGAATTACAGATCATCATTACGGGTTTGAAAATGCCAATTAGCCCGCATTAGAGTTTTAGGCGTGATATTGTGTAGGCAAATCAGGGAATCGAAGGTCGTAGTAACAAAAGAGACCGTTTCAGGAACCTTATTGGTAACACGAAAACACGGAATCGAATGTAATTATATTAAAAGCACACATATTCAATTCGGATCTTTGCTCAGAAAGGGAACTTGAACCATCTTCACAAAGGTGGGGATCGAAGGTTTGTATAGCCATCTTTGGAAAATTAATAACATTTTTCAGTTATATGACTATCCCAGCTGAACAATTTGAAGCAATTGTAGAAAGTCACCAGAGTCCTGTTTCTCAACCTAGATTGAAATTAAATGGAGTTTAACATGAAGACGATCATACGGTTTGTAGTGTGTCACGAGGGAGATTTTGTCAGGACTACTTTCATTCCGAATTCCAACTTTTACGTACACACCAATGTCTCTTGGCAGATCCTTTGACAAGGGGGGGGGGGGGATCACACCGCAGAATCTCAAAAACACTTGGTCAGCCAACACCGGAATCGAATACGATCCCCGCACCCCACCCCCAGGTTAGCCGGTCAACGCCTTACTCACAAAGTCACCGCGAGTCCCCTGTCAACTACTAGTCATTTAGTACATACCTGACTCCACCTTTTCCTGTGACGTATTTTAGCTTTGTCCTTCATGTGGCAAATGAGTTTATTTTGTCCCGGTAGATGCCACTCGAGTCGACCACCGTATGGTGTAGGATACTTGTTAGGGTCATCCATTTTAACTTGAACTCGATGGACGATACTAAAATAAACATACTTAATTATTACCATCCTGTCAACATATACAAGAATATAAAGAAAGGTACATAAAACTGAATTATCAGGAGCCTAGTACTTAAAACAGTTATCTTATATTCAAAGGTTTGATGCGTTTTTTTCATTTTCGCTAATACTTCTCAGACCTTAATTCACGCTAATATGTACTCAGATTATGTATTTAACATTTAATTAAGAAAATAATATTAAAATACCAACGCTAGATAATATCCCGGTTTAGATTCGATCGGATTTAAAACATCCCGTGGATTCTGTTCGCCTGCAACAAAATGGCGGCGAGCTTAGTACATGCGTACAGCATATAAATACTGAACGGAGTTGAACCATTTGTTTTTTGTCTATATCACCCTAGGTTGAAGTGGACGTAAAACTCTAGAAACGAACGGCACGAACCATGTTTGCCTCTTTGAAATTCACAGTTCACAGTTTGTAAAGGATTCCTATTGCGCTAAAATGACGCAATGAGACTTCAAATTTAGGTGTTCAAAAATTAATTAGCAGACGACTATTATTTAAACTGTTCTTATTTAAGGTTCGACCATAATATGTACTAAGTCGTCGTCATATATTGTATTTTTAATTGTGGTAGATGTACGGAACGATATTAAATTCAAATTAAGAAGCTATATCTCTAAATTTATCGGAATTATACAGAACGAATTAGGGAGCAAACACTACTATCCCCCCGCCGCCCCAAGCATTAAAAGTCGTTATTATCCTTAAGAACATAGTCAGTCATTAAATTAATCTAGGCCCTAAACCAGTTTTAATTTTAAGAACATTTTAAAATGAATGTTATATTGACCTAAAATAAAGGAGTTCGTTGTCCTTAACAGTAGTTGATGATGATTAATTTATCATATTGTAGATAATATGTAACAATCGAACCAGAGTCTATTTAGACATCAAAACTTCGATCCTTCCGTCACCGAAGCTTTTGTTACAAAAGATAGAAACGAAGAAAGTGGGTTTCTTCATATTTCACCATTTACAATAAAAGTACAGGCACCTAATTTTTCTAGAGAAAGTACATTTATCTGCAACAGTAATCATTTTTGTCGCCTTTAACGATTTTAATTTTAAGAACATTTTAAATTGAATGTTATATTGACCTAAAATAAAGGAGTTCGTTGTCCTTAACAGTAGTTGATGATGATTAATTTATCATATTGTAGATAATATGTAACAATCGAACCAGAGTCTCTATTTAGACATCAAAACTTCGATCCTTCCGTCACCGAAGCTTTTGTTACAAAAGATAGAAACGAAGAAAGTGGGTTTCTTCATATTTCACCATTTACAATAAAAGTACAGGCACCTAATTTTTCTAGAGAAAGTACATTTATCTGCAACAGCAATCATTTTTGTCGCCTTTAACGATTTTCATTTCCACGGTATGAGAACTAGGTTGCTCATGATTTTTCTTGTACGCTTCAAAGGTTCGCAAAGTTGCCATAAATTAGTATATCAAACTGGAATATTTAATCGGTGTCACTTAGTTTATTTTTAAAGTCTACAGATAAATATTTGTTTAATAAACTAAGAGTAAATTAACTAACCTGGCAGCTCTATCAATAACACTAACCAGCTGCTTTACAAAGGCGTTAGCCTGATATTCAAACTCTTCGTCGTCATGGGATTCAAAGGCATCATCAAAGAATATGTGAGCTAAAAAAAGAATGAGGAATAAAATGCGATTGAATAATCAATAAAAACCCAATTAATTACAATGCAATAATATGTATACCTGCTGAATTTCAATTTTGATTGGTATTCAATGTCCACCCAAAAATATATATTATTTTAATTTTTAATGTTAATTTTACAAAAGTAACACATATCTATATTAATGTCCAAAAGAAATTATACACTGTGCATTTTGTGCTGCATCAACCAAAGTCGTTTTTCCATGGTATAGGGTATTTGGGTAGAATGTCAATTTGTTTCACATTTTTATTTTGCTTAGAAATGTTGTGTTTGGACGCAAGAGACAAACTCAGTAATGCTTTATCAAATGTTTTTAATCTAAACAAAACTTAGTCATACTTTTAGTGTGTGTACTTTCTTTTGGACATCAGTATATTTCATGTACAATTTTTCATGTAACCAGTTCTTGTCCAAAAAGGTAAAAAAAAACCCCATTAAAACACTTACCTTCAAATTCGTAGTAATCAGGATCCATTACATCAAAAAATATGTATGCATGTTTCCTTGTACACTGATCCAAATCTAACCTGAACAAAACAACAATACATTGATACATTATCTAAACAATATATTTTATAGGGCTTGTGCACAAGACAAGTAAAATGTCCAATTACCAAAAGACCATTTCAATCGGCACTTCACATTGTTAAGATTCGTCAGTCCCAGTCGAGTGCACCCTTTTTCGCATATTGAATGTCGATGTATTTATTTTGTTTTTATTAGTATCAAAAATATTGTTTATTTTACTCTTTCGTTGACACCTGGTACTTCTTTACTATTGCATTTAATTATTTTAATAGTTTCTCATTTAGGAACCCCACCCAGGGTCGTCTTAATGATCGACTATTTCAATTGTAATTCCTGTGAGTGTTTGTGTTGGCACTGCTTTGCCCCAGGCGGGTATACGCCATATTAGTAAAGTTTTGCCCAGACATCAATCGGATACCAACTGTCAAGGGTTCTTTTGCGGGCACGGTAATGTGTACACGAGACCTCCGTTTTTCATCCAAACCGAACGTCTAGACGCTGTCCTTGCAAGCCAGACCCCCTTCTTGTACCACTGAAACAGGGAGAAGCACGACATAAAATCAGGAGATAAACTTCCTCGGCCAACACCGGAATGTTAGACATTAGTGTATGGACCGTGATCTGTGCTCTCTTATGCCAGGGTCCCATTATCACGATTCGTGCTGCGATTGAAATCGTGATTTTAATCGTGAAGTAATCGTGGTGATTCTGTCAGGTCTGTCGTATCGAAACGTCTCCGAACGTATCTGCACGTATCAGATCGTGGACAATAGTGACAATCCTTGTAACGCTTCGCATGACAGTGGGGATCTAGCATTAAATCTAGATCTAGACGAAGTTAATCCGGACGAAAGACCCAGCACCTTGATCAAACTACCATTAAGTTGACTTACCTAAATATCGAGGTTAAAATCTGGATCATTTCAGTATCAGTCTCGTGCCACATGGTGGCGCACACGTATAGCATTGGTGTGACATCTGTCCTTAAGGAACCCCGTGCTTGAGTTTCTGGTTCTTGATCAGATTCCAGCTGTAAAATTCCTAGAGCATTCTTGTTTTTCTGAAATACGAAAATTTATTCTCATATTATAAATAAGAAATCATTTTCAGGCTTCTTGAGGGATAGTTTACTAAAAAATATAACTAATATTAGATTACAATTTCGTTTCGTTTTTTTATGATTTTTATACTACGTTGTAATCTAACCAACGTTCTATTAAGATGTATAACAACCAGTCGTATTATAACCCACAACGTCTTCATCGCCTTCGGGATTATTGTTTTTCCACCCGGGGGATAAAACAAAAGCCATCAGATCCACTCTTATACAAATGGGTTTGAAAATTTCCATATTTTACTATAGAACCAAGCTATGTGCACCAATACAGACAATTTGATTGTTAATATTACTACATGTTTTTGATTTTAACCATATTGGACTATCAACGAAATTACAGCACTACAATTTCTTAGTATCCTCTATTGAGCCGCCGACCTTTATTCAATCAGTTGCTAAAATATCTGATCATCCATGCCAAATAAAAGTCACTATTCTCATGTATTTTAATGTTTTCTACCCTTTTCCTGGTGTTCAATTTCGGATTTCTCATCGACCCACCACTACTTACCTCTTTATAATGTCTGAAATCTCGATCTTTGTCATCTCTTCTTCTATTTAATATCAGACTTTGCTCCAGGAATATTCCACAATACATGGTTTGGACAAATAACCTAAAATCATGTCGAAAAAGACTTTCTAAGCAGAGTCTCTGATAAATACATAAATGCAATTTTCTGATTAAGAACAAAAACCAACACTATCGCTAGCAGTATCTTAATCTCACCAGGTCAGATCAGATCAAACGTAGGAATGTCTCCTTAAAACGTAAATTTGACGCCATACCTTTGCATGAGCAGTGGCGTATTTCCCTTCGCCTTCCCACTTTTCCCTTTAAAACAGTTTCCCAGTTACAAACTGAATTGTACATGGGCTCAATTTAAAAAAAAATACTTTCTTACCTTTCTGTTTGCACCAATCTTTCAACACGAGGAAACCAAATATGAACAGCCACCCACATAAAAGAGAGCCACCAAGCCAATGCAGCGATTATATAATAATCAACCATTAATGTATACAAATAATTATCACTTTCCCCAATGTCACATTCCCAATACAAATAACTGGGTATCGCTGGTAGCCAAGAATGAGTGGAATTCGCTGATATCACTACAGGATTATCCTTCCCTGATTCACAACTGCTGATCAGCGTAGCGATCATAATCGGCATCGAAAGGACCAAAGGTAAAGCAAAGCTTCCAACTTGAAGCAATATTTTACATGATGTTTTGGCAAAAGAGTAACATAGAAGACAGGAGAAGACTTGGAAGAGCATAACCCAAAAAGGATCGTCTAAATAGTCTGTTACTTCAGTGTTGTCCATATTGTATGGGTAGACCATATGGGGGCATTCTGAGGTTGGACTCTCGCCCAGGAAATATAAAACCTTCATACACGAAAGTTGTCCCTTACTCATAAGCATTGTCATAATGCACACGGTTAAAGCTATCTTCCACAAAGACACTAATGTATATATCTTAGTCCTCATTCTCCGAATGGATCGTTTTAGTATTAGGAGTTGTCTACCAACAGGACCCAAAAACGTATAGCGGTTGATGTAGTTCTCCCACCAGCCAAAAGATATCAACAGCAGCGATATTGGAACAGACCAACTTTCATCCGTCTCCACACCCATAATTAAGTTTTTAAGAGTCCACATTAAAAGCACAGAGGCCTGGATAAACATTGCCACCAGATCTAGAAAGACAACCCAGCACGAACGACCAGCTTCTTCCTGACGATCAAACAGCTTGAGACAGGAAGGTAAAAAAGCCACACCTAGCGTCAAAACCAAACCTCGTAAAGAGTCCATATTAGGCAGCACTTGAAAGGTAAATATACAGATACCTGCAGTATGGATACTTTCAAATATCAAAACCTAAAAAAGAAAAACAAGGTTGATAAAAATACAAGCAAGTGGAACAGATAAGCTCGTAATCTGAGGAACTGGAAGACGGGAAATAGTAAGTGCAGGGCGACTAGCAAAACTAGTAACAACTAACAGAAACAACCAGACACCTACAACTATAAGCCCTCGGATATCCCGCCGAAAACATATTAATATATTTCTTTGTTAAAGTCTGCAACAGCTCAGCAATTGGAATCCAGCTGTTGGGTAGTATTTTTTAAATTCAGCACAGATGGCAATACCAGTGAGAAATAATTCGGATCTTCCGAGAGAAAAGAAAAGACACAAGCCTTGCCAGATTGTCGAGGTTGGTTTGGACCGAAATAAAAATATAATGGTTTAAATTGATAACTGCATTAAAGGGTATTTGGAATCAAGAATAAAATATATCTCACCGCTAATAAAACTCCCCAAGTTGGACTTCTCGTACTCTTAAAACACATACGCCACATAGATTTACCAAAATTGAACACGTAGGGTATCACAATAGTTAGGAAGAGAGCCCAAATCCAACGAATTTCTATATTTTGAACCAGTTCGTAGAATGGATTTTCTGGATCTAGTATTGGTTGCACTCGGGAACACAACGTGGATTTTGAGTCTTCACTATCTTTACAATAAATTGTTATATTTGTATGGATATTAGATGTCAGCAACAATAAAGTACTCTTGCTAATCACAGTAGTTACTAATACAGCTAAAGTTAAAAATATTCCAACTAAAACTTTCACTATTTTCCTCACTAAACTTAGCGTTGGGTCGTCTAAAGTTGATTCGGAGTCTTCTTTCACAACGCGAAATATATCCCAGGTTTTCCATGACGGCCGCAAGCCCGGCAAGCTATCCATGCTGGAATAAAAAATACTGAGAAGTGTTCATACTAAAACTTATTTGGATTTTCTTTTACATCGTTTAAACGTAAATATTACATTTATTCCATAGTGAAACTGACACAGCCAGTCGTCACGGAGAGGTGCGGTCGCACAAAGGTGATACTTTTGGACGTTCTTGTTCATTTTGCAAATAATGAAGTTTCTAATGCAGTCGGTTTAATATATTCCACGGAGCCCTTGTCTCCATAGCAATTATTAACAATGCCATTAAACGTTTTATAATTCATAATGTTTTAAAGAGTTATCTAATGTTGCTTACCTTGCCAGGCTGTCTCGTGGATCTTGCCTGCCTGGAGGTGTTCGCCTTCGCAATGTATCACCAGCTTCACTGATAGAGGCGTCATCTCGATCGCCCCCTTTCATCATATCAGCCGGAGAGTCGCAGTAACTTCCAGCTAGATGTAACCCAGTCTCTAAACTATCATGGTAAACTGGGTTGATGACACCGTCGGCAAGATTGGAGTCGTGACCCAAAAGGTCAGATGTGGAGCTATACGAAGGAAGTGTAATAGGTCTATCTACGAACGGCCCATTTGTCATAGTGTTGGGGAGACTTCCCTGAAAAAAAAAAATAACATTCTTATTATATATTTAATTGGATTATAGGCACTCGTCTGTAAGGTTAGAAATATTGGTCTATGGGTTCGACATTACCACACAGTAGACCTGACCGTCAAACTTGACCCAGAGTATGTGGCATTCAGTCACTACCTCTAATTCTGTGATAAGAATCTTACTGTATAATAGCTTTTCTATGAATTGCTCATAAGAGTCTTGGTTAGAAAAAGGGACAATTCCGAACACAAACTATATTATACTGAAATGCAAATAGCCGTTTCATGAGTCAAGATATATTCTACAATACCCAAATTCAACACATACAACTCCAGATGATAAACACCACGAAAAACCTACCATATGAACAACATCTGAAGAAAAGAATTTTCTACAATACATAACCACAAATGTATGAAAACTGGACACGAGATAAAAAACGCCTCGAAACCACCGCCTCCTTCAGACTTATCCTCTGTGCAAGTTATACATATTATGAGTATTTGACCTGCGGGCTCGAAATTATCTTCAAGCAATCTCACAAGCCACATCGCTGGCAAGGATGACAGAGAAGGATTGTAAAAATCTTGAATTCTTCATGGCATTTAGCACCAGGCCCCGTCAAGTCGGGACTCATGAGACACCCGTGGCACCTAACCAGTAAAATGTAGCAAACCGAAAACAAAGAGAGCAATCTCAAAAACCAGATTAATGTTCTTGATTCCAGGAGTCAAATTGATTTTAGTTTTAACTCCATTTCCCCGACAGCCCTGAACAAATCTCATCTCCCCTTCACCGTCAATAATGTAGCCGACTGCTCAAAAGTCGCCGTCCTGGGGAGAACCTTTTCTCACCGACAATGTTAAAAACTTTGTTTGTGTCTTGGGTTGCATGTTTATTTAAAGATCAATGTGCTAAGCCCCTGGCCTTTTTGTTTTAAAAATTATAGATGGCTAATATTAAATGCTACACTTTCTTGAATTATACTAATGAATATTCTTTTAACATTAATTGGGATATGCTCGCATTGTATTAATTAATATCTTTTCAAGGGCTCCCTGAAATTTCATTGGGGATTTGAATAGAAATAACTGTCCCCGCAAAATCGACGAATATCATTCCCACGTACAAATAATATAAAATTGAGAAATAAAATTTTCTCAAGGACAGAGCTATTTTGGACATTAAATTCCAAATTAACACCAATTCTGTTATGTCGTTCATATGATGTCCGACTACACTTCGATTATGCAGCTGGTTGAAATATTTCTGTAAATAAGGCACATAAACCAGTTTATATCTACCTGTTTTATGTCTGAGAACGTTTAACTTAGGTTGTTTAAACGGCTTAAAATTGACTAAATTATCGAGACTACAGATGACATACACGTTATTTTCATGTTGTATTAAAACATTTCACAGTGGAGTAACCACCGACAACAAAATTCCACAGTGAAGTCTTTCACTACCAGACCCGCTTAAAACGCATTGCTTTTACCAAAGGCGCTTTTGCTACAAACTAACGACGTATTGTTAGAGTTTGTGTGTAGAATACATGTGTGTTTGTGTAGGTTCTATCGAGCTTGAGTTTACTGAAGGAGGGGAAACCGAACATAAGTGTTTGAACGCTTTTCAGTCTGAAATTCGTTTTGAGCCTGTGGCATTCTTATTTCTTAAAAAGACGAGCAGAAATTCGGAACGCCTTTGGTTTAAATAGAAGTTGGTCGTAACCCTTTTGTCTAAAGTTTATAAGAAGATAACGCGTTCGTGAGTGTCTTTCTATTCACCTATTCCTACAGTGCTACTTATAATGTTTTTTGATAAAATAGGCGTTTCTCGTTTTCGCGGATACGCTGCATATAAACCAACTAAACTACTACAGCCTTCCCAACGTATACAATTACAATAAGAATTCAAATCTGTTGAAAATTGCACTAATTGTGTACACATTGTATTCTTAGAATTTTTGAATGCTACTCGTTCACTGTGATCTTTCAATAAATAGTAGCCGATAGATTTGGTTATATTGCGATTAATATTGTGAACGGAACATTGTTATAGTTATACAAACTGCATAATGTAAATCAAAAATGGTAGCATTGAGTCTAAATAAGATTAAGGACGTAAGAAAATCCCCAAGAAATAAACAAAAAAGACTATAATGACAGATTTTCGAAAAAATATACTTAAGGTCGGTGACAATCGATTGTATCAAAGAATAACTATTTCAGTAATCTCTTAAAATAATGATTTGATAATGTTAAAATTACATGAATCTGGGTAGAGGTAATCGATATCAAACAAGCGCGGCTGATAAAACAAAAATACATTGGAAAACAAACGAAAGACATATTTCGGTTGTTGGTATCATGCTCCGTCTGTTATTTTATCAGATCGCCCAAATAGTGCCAGTTTCCCCATCATATCTAAACCCTGTTTCGGGAAAATAATGTCATTCTTTTTATTTCGTACTTTTTTCCCGAACCACTATTTTGTTTGTCGTCGAGGATAAAATTTTGAAATATTTTGGAAAAGAATTTAACAGTCATGTTTCACATGGAATTTCGTCGATGTTTTAAACATTTTCGGATTTAGTCAATACAGCTGTGTTGAAAACAACATTTTAAAGGAAAACATTCGCAATTCTCAGACGTGAAAAGGTAGAGAAAAGCAACATTTAAGTGACTTCTTGTCAAAATATAAACGAAATTGTAATGCCTAAACTATAATGTTAAAACATCGAATGGCTATTATCTCCACCATAGTGATGAAAAATTGCAATTTACACCGTACACTAACTATAAACTGCAAATAAGACGATCTTTATTAATTAAATAAATACAGATTATTTTCAGCATCCCTTTATAACATCAGCGAATTCTCGTGCATAACACAGCCGCCGAAAATCAGAACCATAAAGACAGTCGAAATAAAGATATTATTTGAATTAAATTGTTTGAGGTAGCTTGGTTTACGAATGTTAGTCTTGTTTTAAAACAAAGTGACCCTTAATTAGTAGTGTAAAGGTATTTTTGATAGTGAGTACGCGCAAACTTGGGTTTTGTAACACATTTGATGTAGACAGTCGGTGATATATTGATATTTCATACTGTAAGTAACTGCGAGACAAGTCAACGAAATGTAATGAAAATGAAATGAAATGAAATGGGGTTTAACTTCCTACTGTTCTGCTCCGACTGAGCTAATGAAGACGGGCATATGCCATACAGTTTGCTATGAGGGAAATTTTTTGCCCAGACAGCGGCACTATGGCCTACTCTTATATCGAATTCCAACAGCCAAGGGATCTTTTACGTGCATGCCAATGTATACACGGGACCTCGGTTTTTCGTCCCATCCAAACGATCAGACAGCTGTCCTTGTCAGGCCCTCCGTCCTGCACCACTGACAAGGGGAAACCACGCCGGAAAATCTTACACACTTAGCCACTGTGACTCCGACAAGTCAACAGTATTACCGGTACATAGAATACCAATAATGCGATGAAGGCACTCACAGTCTTAGGTCAAAAAATTTAATGTTTAAATAATTAAAACTTTAAGAAGAGCAACCAGACATTTTTGTTTGTTTTTGAATTGGTGTGGCCTTAATGAATTATCGTCCAAAAGCCGAAAACATGAGACAAACGAACCATCAATTAGAATCACTATTTGCGATTGAATTAATAGTTGACTTTCGAAACGAATAGTTATCAAAATAATAATACCCAATAGTGAAGTAAACATATTCTGGCTCGCACGATACCCACCACAACTATTAAAGCATATACATAGGTCTAGTGAATAACAAAAAAACATTTCTTTAATGCACACTTTAGTTTAAATGGTGTATAGCACTGTCTCTGTAATTTAGATCTCAACAGATTAAACAGGCATTACAATATTTTCCCTAATTCTGGTACTATATAGAATAAATGAAATGAATTGGGATGTAACTTCCTACATATTTGCACCAATTGGGCTAACGAAGACGGGTATACGCCATACGCTACGGTCCACCCTTATTTCCACTTTCAACTCTTTTACGTTCACGCCAACGTGTAAACTGCGCTGAAAACTCCAGAGTTTCTTTCACTGTCAACACCGGACCGACAGTCCCCCCCCCCCTTCTTTATGAGCCAGCGCTTTACTCACTGAGCAACCGTGGCTCCCCGGAACTTTATATCTATAATCGTTATGTAAAGCGTTTCAGTCATGTAATATCAAGTTATAGTTTACTTACATTTGTTTTATAAACCTTTCTAATACGTTTGGGTGTTCTCGTTTCAGGAAACTGGTCTCTCAATATGAAATCCATCAGAGCGGATAAGCCGATCACATATAAAAAAGATATCCCATAATCTCAGCAACCTTTTTAGCAATGGCCGCCATTTTGTTTTTATTTCCTTCACCTATGATATTTTGTTAATAGTAGCAGATCTATTGTTTTTGTATAAAACGGCCATATTGTTTTTCATCATGGGTATATATCCATTTTATATACTCGACATTTAGATGGACAATCGGTATTGTTTAATCAGAAAACACTACACGCAACTGTTATGGAGGTGACTGTCAGTAACTAATGAAGAATCGATTGTAGATATTATGGTCAAGCACCCAATTTTGTTTTCAAATTAAAGCTTTCACTTAAATATATTGTATTTTACGAATGTAAATAACATTGATCCATTAAAAGGCCAGAGGTGAATTCAACATTGGTAGGAACTAGTTACCTTGTTAAATACCTGTGGCCGAATTGAAAAATGACTGGTCAGGGAACGTCATTCTATCAAGATTAACCCAAGAAATCCATTCGGTCAGTAAGTCGTTGGCTAATCCAGGTGGTTTTAGTAGTGATAATATTAATACAACTGTCCACACCTGTACGCCAGGTTAAACAGGCAAGCAATCGCCACTCAAGCACTGGCGATTTCGTTACTCTTCGATTTTTAACAGATACACAAAGAAAATATCACTCTGTCGCCAACACCACATGTCAAATATTACAACATAGTTCCTAGAAACACTGTGGAATATGGTCTGAATGTCAATGAAAGCTCTTGACCAACTTGCTACTTTAATACGCCCACAATCAATATAAACTCATATCCCCGAATCTACGTATCCCGTCAAATCTAATAAAACTATAAGAAAAAGCTCATGGAAACTCTGGGATTTGTAGGTTAATATTTCCTTAAAAACTGTGGTTAGTCAGTTCTTTAGGAAATTAATTTTAAGGAATATGGTTTGAAATACAACTATGAGAAAAAGCTCATAGAAATTCTGCGATCAGAAGAAGGTAGGCTACTTAAGTCCAAATTTGTCGGTCAATATTTCCTTAAAAAAACGTGGTTAGTCAGTTCTTTAGGAAATACTCTTTAAGGAATACGGTTTGAAATACTCTCACTTCTTATACCGCTATGATAAAAGGCTCGTGGAAATTCGGCGATCAGAAGGTACTTAAGTCCAAATTTGTAGATCAATATTTCCTTACAAACTGTGGTTAGTCAGTTCTTTACGGGTTGAAATACTGTCACTAAGTTGGACTTCAAGACGCAATAATTCCAGAAAAAACAATCTCAGTTTATACAGTCCATCCCCTCCATTTTAAAATCAAAAGTTAAGATGAAGATTTCTACACTGAATTCTATATTCTTTTAAAATATTCACATCCAACAAATTTGAAACAAGTGTCGCCCATTTCACACGTGACGTTGTGAAATGAGAAAATCACAATAATACTTGAAATACATGTCTAAGAAATGTTTAATTTTCAAACAAGATCCAGTCAACACTTCACTGGTTTACATTAAGACGGAAAGGAGCAAGGTCTCAAAATAGCTAATATACCCTAGTTTCGCATCCACTCAGTTCTATATATATACCTAAATTATTAAATTATCAAAAGCTTTATTAACAACTACATTGAAGATTAAATATAATCAAAATGTCCTGTAACACAAAATAAATATCCGCTGAAATTATCTCATTTTTTTTTAATGTACCCAATCCACGACAATCTTTCAACAAATACTTCAGTATACAATTAATGTTGGTGGCAACCCTTAATAAATCACAAGTAAATATTAAAAGCAATTGCTACTTTCAGTTTATTAAAAAGGAAGCTGCTCAACGCCCTCTCGATCAATGGGGAACCTATCCTAAGGCTATTGATAGAGTAAATATACCTATAGACCGTTTTTTTTTATTGATCAAGTAATACCTTTGGAAACATATAGTTAGTAATACACTAAATCGGACTAAGGCCAACTAACACAGATGTTTATGAATTATATTGACCTAGTCCGTGGAACTCCATCCATGTTTCCCGCCATTACTGTCACTGGGGTTTGTAGCAATACAATTATTCATAATAATACTGTATATATAGTATTTTAACTTAAACATACTAAACGAAATTATATGATAAATGTGACCATTTTCGAAATCACATCTATGGCATCTCCCTAATATTCAAACAAACATTAATTTGGCCTTAAAATTGATCATACAGAGATATATCGGACAAAGAGACACCTTAAAATACTAAGTGTTCATTTAAAACGTTAACTTCATTCCATAAGCAAATAAAACTAATTTCTTATTAATCACCCCGCCCCGACCTATCCCTCACACATAGATATATCGGACAAAGAGACACCTTTAAAATACTACTTGTTCATTTAAAAACGATAACTTCATTTCATAAGCAAATAAAACTAATTTGTTATTAATCACCCCGCCCTTTCGTTCGTTCGTTCGTTTCTGGGGTTTTACGTCCACTTCCACCTAAGGTGATATCGTAGACAACACCCCGCCCTCACCTACCCTCCTTAAAGTACAAGGCGCTATTTTTTTGTCCCTATGTGTCACAGCCCAACAACTCCTTGTAACAATGGTTTGCTAGCTTACAGAAATTTAATATCACATATATAATGGCTATTTCAATGTAATTTTATGTAATGTAATTAACAACTTTAGAAAATAATTTTTAATGTCCCAAATATTAACTCTTTTCATATGACGCAATGTATCCCAAGAGAGCGTGTACATTTCTCAGTTGAGATCAAATGCCAGAGCGAGACATGGTATGGTCTCTTCTTGGCAAGAAGTAAATTGCTAACATTACTGAGACAAGGCTAGGAGCCATCTAAATTGAAATGTGCAGTCAATACATTTTATGGTCGCCTTCTAGAGAAATGAAATGAAATGAAATGGGGTTTAACGTCCTACTCGTTTGCTCCTAAACTGGGCTAATGAAGACGGGCATACGCCATTCAGTGTGCTATGAGGGAAATTTTGTTGCCCGGGCAGCGGCGCTACGGCCTACTCTTATATCGAATTCCAACTGCCAAGGGATCTTTTACGTGCACGCCAATTTGTACTCGTTTGTTCCTAAACTGGGCTAATGAAGACGGGCATACGCCATACAGTGTGCTATGAGGGAAATTTTGTTGCCCGGGCAGCGCTACGGCCTACTCTTATATCGAATTCCAACTGCCAAGGGATCTTTTACGTGCACGCCAATTTGTACTCGTTTGCTCCTAAACTGGGCTAATGAAGACGGGCATACGCCATACAGTGTGCTATGAGGGAAATTTTGTTGCCCGGGCAGCGGCGCTACGGCCTACTCTTATATCGAATTCCAACTGCCAAGGGATCTTTTACGTGCACGCCAATTTGTACACGCGACCTCGATTTTTCGTCCCATCCGAACGACTAGACAGCTGTCCTTGTCAGGCCCTCCGTCCTGCATCACTGACAAGGGGAAACCACGCCGGAAAATCTGGATGAACTTTCTCGGCCAATGCAGGGATCGAACACCCGACCTCCAGGCTAGCGAGCCAGCGTCTTACCCACTTAGCCACGTGACACCCCCCCCCGCCTTCTAGAGATAATTGAGATTAATAATCTGTGATTATTATCATCATAGATCCTTATCATTGACACCGATTTCTGGTGATTCTATTTTTATGATTTTAAAGCTGTGTAAGAGGCAGACTATGTTTACCCTTCCATGCACACATCACGCTACTTGGGTATACTGTTTCACCTGTTGAAAGTACACTTACTATTTACTCGATTATCCCCTCCGTTTATGGACTCTTTGTCTCTGATTACTCCGTGGTATTTATTACGTACAATTATATGTGTGGTAATACTATCAGACAAAACAAAATATGTTTGCTGTATTTGTAAAATCTGATGCCATTATTTCGTAGAATATTCTAACATCCAACAAAAGTATCGTTACTTCTCAGTAGATATCCATAACGAACATTAGCGAACTGTTAAATTCGATACCGTATACAGGTGAAGGTAGCTTAACAGAGCTAAATCTCTATTCTTTGGCACCTAGAAATGGGTCGTAACGCATATAATAATGTAATATTAATGTATTTAAACTGATTTACATTCAATCGTTTCTGTTTTTACTGTAATGTCTAATCAGTTATGTTCGGCGAAATACGCGAAGAGTCCAAATTTAATGGCAGTATTTGGCGTCTAGTTAATCCAGTCTACACCGGTAGTATTTTTCTGTGGGGTATGTTTAGCTGCGTTCATCGAGTCGCTTCATTACCAATGGCGCTCGAAGGCATTCTGCCACGCGATTCGTGTGCCAATTCTAAAATTTTCATTTCGTCTTAAATATTGGCTATCAAAAGCCCATCTTTTCACGGTAAGATAGCAACATGAATTTGATTTAAATTGACCATTTCGTCATGTTTGCATTGTGGAAGCTAATATTGAGTTAGAGCCTTGCATCCTTTAATGATTGTTGAATACCATTGGCAGTTCGAAAGAAAGACTGGATCTCTGTGCATTACATGCTATTATTTTATGCATTTACACCTCTCTCCCTCTGTTCTGTTAAGAGTTTCTCATAACAATGCTTTCGATTTTTTTGCACAAATTCTATTCACTTTGGTTTCCTTAGACTTTTTTGACACAGGAAAATATCATCTTAAGAATGAAATAAATCCCTTTTAGGCATACCGCTGTATTTAGTTGTTGAATTTATTGTCAACAATAAAACAATAAAGCCTGTCAGTGAAAAAATAAAATTAATATTCAGACATGTTTTCATTTTAAAAACCTGAGAGTTATTCTCAACAGGTCAAATATTGACATTGGATTAACACATAGATAGATCATTATACCACGCGCTTTGTCAATAAAGCGCCCTCTATATATTCATACGATAACTCTTGTGTTTTTTGTATGTCTGGGTAGAGCAATATTTAGACAATTGCATCAGCCGAGGTCAGATGTTTCGATTTAGATTATTGGAATTTTAAATATTGTAGCTCAGCATAAATAAATAAAGACAGTCTTT